AAATTTAGTTTGGTCCTCCAAGCCCTATTCAATTTTGGACCAATCAGCACATCCCTCTTTCTAAAGCCAGTCCTTAATTACATTTGTTACTAAATAATGTCTTAATCTGGTCAAGGATTGCCACAGGAACTCACGTGTCTCTTTCTATTCTAGTTTTGTATCTTCAAGGTTCCTAGAATACTGTTTAACTTCTTTGGCATCCAAATATCAAAGATGTATGGACATGGTGCCAAACTCTACATAATAGTGAAATTATAAAAGGAAGTTATATGTTGTTCATATACCAGAGCAGGATTTGAATTAAAATCTTTAAGATTTCAGTATCTGCACAGAGGATAAAACGCACAACTTCCAATAACAACAAAGAAAAGTTATGTCTGATGCTCTTCTCACTGCGCTGAAGTGAGTGGGTTGTTTTGTTTTATTTTATTTTTTGTTTTACCTTTGTCTATCACTGTTCCTTTAATTTCTACTTGGCAATCTGCTGATTCTGAAAATATTGAGCAAAGACAAAATACTTCAGCACTGTGCCACGTGCCAGCAATATTCTAGGAACCCTGAAGATACAAAAAAAGAATAGAAGGAGACATGTGACTTCCTGTGGCAATTTCAATCTGCATTTGTGTTGAAGGGATACTGAGTTCAGCAAGAGGAAATTTTCTGTTTAAAGATGCTGGCAAAGGTAAAATAAGTTCAGATAATGCTAGCTAAAACTGCAGCATCTGAATTTGCTAGGGTTATTCCTGACATGAGCCTTTAATGGTCAGGTTCATGTTTAGTTTTTCTTGCAATCCGAGTTAAAGAAATTACTATGCACCCCCGCTCTCTTCCCCTCCCCAATTACCTGCCCCAGGCCACCATCCAAGCTCTCTGCACCCATTTCCCTCAGGTCACAACTCCCTCCCAGTAGGGTTGCCAGGTGTCCAGTATCAGCGCTCCCTCACCCTATACCCCATTCCCCTGCCCAAAGCCATCACCCCAAACCCTCTGCACCCCCTTCACCCGGGTGCTTTTTTTTTTTTTGCAACTCTATCTCCCAAATGCTGCATCCTCTCTTACACCCTTCCCCCAGGCCAGAATCCTCTCCAGCACCCATACCCGCTCCCTCACCCTATACCCCATTCCCCTGCCCAAAGCCATCACCCCAAACCCTCTGCACCCCCTTCACCCGAATCGCAACCCCCTCCCGGACCCTGCACCTCCTCCTTGAGACCTTCCCTCAGGCCAGAATCCTCTCCTGCACCCCTACTCCCTCCTGGACTCTGCACCCCAAACTTCTGCCCCAGATCACACTCCCCTCCTTCACCCAAACTCCCTCTCAGATTCCACACTCCCTCCTGCACCCGGTCTCATACCCCAAGCTCTCTTCTGCACCCAACTTCTGTCCCAGACTCCAAACCCCCTTGGTAGAAATGCAGCCCTTGAGCACTTGCCAAAATCTTGGAGTGGCTCCCCATTAAAAACTATTGCCCACCCCCATTTTAATGTCTTCATACGGGACCCCGTTCCAAACTCCTACGTATTTTTGTTGCCCTTTTCTAAACCTTTTCCAATTTCATTCTGCCCCTTCCTCTTCAGTTCCACCCCCACTCTGCCCTACCCCCTCAGGCCCGGACCCTACTTGTTCCTTCTTCCTCCTCCCTACTGAAATGCCCAAACTGGAAGAGCTCTATGTCCCTGCCATGGCCCCAGGGTCACAACAGGAAGCAAGAGCTGCGCCAGAGCTGGGGCTGTGGTGAAAGCAGATTTTCACTGGAGCCCCAAATTTGTGTCTGGTAACGCGAGGTTTGGGGAGGCTTTGTCTCCCCTCACCTTCATTACACACAGCCCAGGCTGGCCGTAAGAGTTTGTGGAGCTATTAGGAAATGAAATAAAAACTGAGAACTCAGCATTTGTTGGCAGAGAGTTAATCGCAAACAGAGAATGAGGCTATAAGTCAGGCTCTCCTAGGCTGTCTATCACAGACAGTTGGTAAACACAGCACTGTACCTTTCCTCTCAGTGTGCTTGGAGTCCCTGCTCCGGATCACAGCTCTCAAGCCATGGCTTTCTGGGAAGCAGTTCTCTACGTACTGCTAGCCTCGATTCTCTGTGGGCTCTATCTCCTGGGAGCGTTTCGAAGGAGGAGACCGCAGGAGCCTCCCCTGGATAAGGGCTATATTCCATGGCTGGGGTACGCACTAGATTTCAGAAAGAACAGCGCAGAGTTCCTGAAAAAGATGCAGAAGAGACATGGGGACATTTTCACTGTGCTGATTGGAGGCTACTACTTCACCTTCGTCATGGACCCCTTCTCGTTCGGCACCATTGTGAAGGCGCCCAGAGCCAAACTCGACTTCGAGACGTTTGCGGTAGAACTGGTCATCAGGGTTTTTGGGTATCACCCGTGTCAAAAAGACCATAAGACCATTCAGCTGGCCAGCACAAAACACCTCATGGGCGATGGGCTCGTGGTCATGACCCAGGCCATGATGGAGAATTTGCAGACCCTCCTGTTTCACAACAGGGGTTCAGGAGAAGAGGAGAGACCCTGGCAGCAGGATGGACTCTTCCACTACAGCTACAACATTGTCTTCCGAGCTGGCTACCTGGCTTTGTTTGGAAACGAGCCGGGGAAAGGGACACAGCGTGAGGAGAAAGCCCAGAAGCGTGATCTCGCCCACTCCGAAGAGCTGTTTAATGAGTTCCGGAAGTACGACCGCCTCTTCCCCCGCTTGGCCTACGCTGTGCTGCCCCCCAGGGATAAAATGGAAGCAGAGAGGCTGAAGAGGCTCTTTTGGAAGGTGCTTTCTGTGAAGAACAGCTATCAGAAGGATAACATCAGCGGGTGGATAAGTGACCAAGAACAGTTCCTGGCAGAGGCCGGGATGCCTGAGTACATGCGGGATCGGTTCATGTTTCTGCTTCTCTGGGCAGCTCAAGGTAACACAGGCCCAAGCTCCTTCTGGCTCCTCTTGTATCTCATGAAACATCCCGAAGCAATGCAGGCTGTGAGGAAAGAAGTGAACACAGTTTTAAGAGAAGCTGGTCAGGAAGTAAAGCCAGGCAGTCCTGTGGTGACCATCACCAGGGACATGTTAATGAAGACCCCAGTCCTGGACAGCGCTGTGGAGGAGACCCTGCGCCTCACGGCAGCCCCTATTCTGATCAGAGCAGTGGTTGAGGACCTGAATCTCAGGATGAAGTGCATCCTGAGCCCCACACCTTCAAATACAACCGGTTCCTGAACGAAGACGGCACCAAAAAAGATTTCTACAAGAATGGGAAAAAACTGAAATATTTTAACATGCCCTGGGGTGCAGGCACCTCGATCTGCCCTGGGCGGTTCTTTGCTGTCAATGAAATCAAACTGTTTGTGTTCCTGATGGTGGCTTACTATGACTTGGAGCTAGTTAACGAGAAAGAGGAGATCCCTCCGATAGACGTAAGCCGATGGGGATTTGGTTCCATGCAGCCCACTCACGATGTCCAGTTTAAATATCGGCTACGTATTTAATTTGAAAAGGTGACTCCCTGCTGTTGTAGCCCTGTTGCATACTGACTCCATAATTCAGCCAGGAGGGATTGATTTCTCAGTTTGAATTTCTGTCAAATTTCTGTCAGAGATTGGTCTGTGTAAAAATCTCCCATTGAATTTCTGTCAGAGATTGGTCTGTGTAAAAATCTCCCCAAAGTGGCATGGCCCATAAGATGATTGGCATGACCTTTCTCTTCAGTTGACAACACAGCACCACTCAAAACTTTAATCAACAGGGTGGTCTGACTTGGAACTCTCAGATTGCATCAGAAACGTCCCCGTTTCCCATTGCAGAATTGTAACAAGCTATGTAAATGAACAAACAAAAGGAACAGGAGTAAGCCCAATACTTATTCTTTTCTTTGTCTTCTCTGTCCTTATGTTTCTCTTCTTTTTCTCTCTTGTTTTTTCTCTTCTTTTTCTTTCTTTGCTTTTTTTCCTTTTTATCCCTCCCCCAGCAAGGGGGGGGGGGGGGAGATCCATGAAATTTTAATAGATTGAAAAGGGGTCTGTATGCTCAAAAAGGTTGGGAACCACTGAGCTAGAGAAAAGTGTTCCAGGGATTAGTTTAAAATTGTTGTGACTATAATACCAATGTGCTTTGATAAATGTTATTCTTCTGAAAAGAATGCTGTCAGCCTATTTAGGTCCCAATAACTCCTATTTTTAAAGCAGAGATTGTATTAGGAATAAATCTGGCAATTTGACATACTGGCATTTTCCTAGGACTCACTTTTCTGCTCCCAATATTGCGCTCAATAAGAAAAAAGAACAATCCAGAGGGGTGTCAGTTGCATTTGGCCACTCCATTTAATTGAGCAGGGAAGGAGCTTTCACAAATACATCAGAGCAAAATGTGCTGCATGTCAAACTTTCAGAAGTGCCTAAACCCCATTTTCATTAACTTAGCTACCTATGGGGAGAATTTTAAAGTATTTTTGAAAACGTAACTGCTTTTGAATATTTGACTACTAGAAAAGTAGTTCCATTAGTAAGTTAGGAGGGGAATAAAATTAAGCAGGAATCACAACTCAATGAGATATTTTAGTGCCTTTTCTAAATCTACCCTCAGGAATGAAAGTCTACAATTAGGAAACAATGAAAGAAAAACTTTTAAAAACAGTTCTTGATAAAAAAAAAAAAAATGGGAAAATCTGAACATACACAAATCAGCCAGTCCAGACAGGTAAAATTTTCCCCCAATTCCCCTCATCCCATATATTACTTAATTATTGATTTAACATTTCCCCATGATTTTACTAGGAATGGAAATTAAATGTATTGGGCATTTATGCCTAGTATGGACATAGTAAATTGTTTTGTTTTTCCAGAATATTGCCCCCAAACAAAACCCCATCAACTTCAGAATAAAAATCTAGTAAGAGTCTGTCGACAAAAGACCAAAATCACAAACAGGCGAGGCATAGAAGCGTATTAAAAATTGTTTATAATTTAAGAGAGGCCCCCAAAACCAAACACCTTTAATATGGGGGTAGGGCTGGAGTTGGAGCCAGAGCAGAGTAGCTATGTCCCAGCTCCTCTGTCGTCCCCCACCCAGCCATGGCAGGACCTAGCTGCCAGAGAAGATCCCAGCCCTTTCGCCACATGGCTGCGGCAGGCCCCAGCCCCCAGACTGCTGGAACAGGCCCTGCCCCCCATCACACGGTGAGTCCCAGCTGCTGGGCCCCCCCACCACGAGGCCCCAACCAGGAGCAGCCGCCTGCTGTGCCATTCACCTTCCAGCAGGATGGTAAGTGCTGCTGCACAGCTCTGCAAACAAGGTGGGTGGAGGAGAATTTTTTGTGCACAGCTGCACAGGCACGCCCCTTGCAGGGAGCTATGGGTTGGAGAGCATTGAACAGATGTCTGAAAGTTCACTAGGAGCACTGTCTAATAGCAGGTGTCCTAGCATGCTGAGTCATTACAGATTACAGTGCAGTGCAGTAGAAACCAGTTGGTTTTTCCCACCTTCCGTTACACAGTTTTCCCTTTTACCCAAGTAACCAGTGCACAAAGATCCAGAAGCAGACGATTTCTCCTGTAGGCACTAGATGGCAATGCAGCCCTACCATTTCCTAGTCTCCGGATTATCTACGTTTTTGATGATCTGATTTGGCCTGGGTCCAGACTGGATGCAATAAACAGGGGCCGACTGTGTAATAGACAAAATAACTGATTTTATTGGCATTTTATTAATTTTAAGTCATTAAAGGGCAGCCACTTCTTAGCCCAGACTGAAATCTTACCCAGTTTCTAAATCAAAGTGAGCTTCGTGAGATGCATTTGTTTTGTAAAAAAAATGACATTCTTGCAAACAATTTTCATCCCAGTTGATTCATGGTTACAAAAAATACTTGTTTAATGTTCATGGCATTTTCCAAAAGAAAACTGTTTCCATTAAAAGGTTCCCACCATTTCAATGCCTGAGCTCTGTGCCTGCGACTAGGGGGTGAGGGTTTGCTGTCCCTTGGTTACAGAAAGAGTGGACTGTTGGGTTTTCATGATGTCTCTGCCCTCCCCTGGCGGTGTGACCTGGCGTAGGCCCTTTCCCTTCTCTGAACCTCAGGCTCCCAATCTGACCAATGGGAAGGGAGACCCGTGTGTAAACGCCTAGCAGAAGTGAGTTAATGGGCAGTAGAGGACTTTGGGGGCTGTTTCATGGCGTTGAGCCCCAAGGCATCGGAAATGTGCTAAAATGTCTGGTGGAGAGAAACAAGAACTGGTGGGGGACAAAGCCCGCAGTCGGATGTGAGTGAGAGGCCACCTGTGTGTGGAGTCTCACCCGTTCTTCACCCACCTCACTGTCATGTGGCAAGGGCAGCTCCTGACCCTCTCTTCCCTTGTGGGAAAAGCTGGCCATTCACAAGTCTATAAGCCAAACTGAATGCAGCTCAGGGTACAAGGAAAACTCTTGGTGAGCGAGGGAGGTCTTAGATGTCTGGAAATGGCAAATGCGGTGCCCATCTTCAACAAGGAGAAGAAAGAGGATCCGGGGACCTACAGGCAAGTCAGCCTCAGTCCCTGGAAGGGGACAAACACTGGTGCAAGTGGGTCAAAATCGCATCCTGCCTCAGGTTGGGACTGAAAAGGGAATGGAAATTTTGCCAGAAATCTAGGTCCCAAGAATTCCTACTTTTAAAGCAGAGATTGTATTAGGAATAAGTCTGGCAATTTGACATACTGGCATTTTCCTAGGACTCACTTTTCTGCTGCCAATATTGCGCTCAATAAGAAACCAGAACAATCCAGAGGTGTCTCAGGTTGCATTTGGCCACTCCATTGAAGTGAGCAGGTAAGGAGCTTTCAAGGGAATGGAAATTTTGCCAGAACAGATCCATTCAGGATTAAGGCCTCAGGTAATTTTGTAGTAAGTCCTTTATTTTGCTGAACTCATGAGTCTCGCTAGAGATTCATGCACCCAGGGATGCTGCCGTAGCAAGCACTTCCTTGCCCACCTCCAGCGAAATGTTGGGAGGCAAACATGTCACAGCTGTTTCACTTCTGCATACAGGGCTGGGCAAACAGCAGCCCGGGGGCCAGATCTGGGCCATCAAGCTCCTGGCAGGCCCCCATCACTATAGTTACCTGCTGGGCCACAAGGACTGGTGATCGCAGCTCCCATTGGTTGCAGATCACCGTTCCCAGCCAATGGGAGAAGCAGGAAGCAGTGCAGACCAGGACACCACTTCCCGCCACGCCATTGGCTGGGAACAGCGATTCACGGCCAGTGGGAGCTGCAATTACCGGTGCCTGCAGCTAGCAGGAAGCAGTGCAGACCAGGACACCACTTCCCGCCACGCCATTGGCTGGGAACAGCGATTCACGGCCAGTGGGAGCTGCAATCACCGGTACCTGCAGCTGTGCAGGTAAATATAGTAGCGGCAGCCTGCCAGGGACAGTCCCGGCGAACTGCTGTGTCAAAGCCCACCTCGGTGTTGGGCTTGGAAACACACGGTCTACATTCAGCTTTTTAAATAATGTAGCTAAATTTACGCCTTCATGGGGGCTTAGAATCCAGCTGTGTATATTTAAACAAGCCCATGTAACCCTCCTGCTCGGGTCTGTATGCTCAGCCAGTCATACAAGCTTCCTCGCCTCTGTTTCCCCCTCCTGTCATGTCCTGCTGCCAGATTAGCCATGTGGAGTCAGGATTCCGCATGCTCCATGTCTTGCCTCTGGCTCCTTTATTACTGAGGTCATACAGAGATTCACAATGCACCCCCTTCTTGGTCAGAGACTGCAGCAAGCACTGGAGGCGTGGGACTGGAGCCAGAGGGCAGTTTGCATTTGCCTGTCCTCTCAAGTCCCCCACCCCTTCACTACCATGGCTCCAGATAGTTGGGCAGCACCAAGAGCGGGAGCTCCATGTCAAGAGCACTGTGGCTGTAAGCCCTGCTTTCCTCCCCCCAGTGCTGTAAGTGTCCTGGGCTCCTCCCATCTGACAGTCACACACAACTCAGTGTAAACAAATTACCCGGTAAATCAAACGCGCTTTGTCTGCCACCGATGCGTGGAATAAAGTCGCATTGTCCAAAGTCACGGACAAGCCATCGATCCATTGGGAATGGAATGACTGCACCCAGCAGCCAGAATCGGCCCTCTGCCATCCAAGAAGAATGTATTGGCACAGCAGCGCCAGCACTGGCTTGTGTTTTTTCCACTTGCAGAAACTAGAGACAAGTGGCCCCTGAAGAACAACTGCTCTACGTGAGTCCCTCATGGCCATTGCCAGAAAGGACACATCCTGCCACCGCTAGTAGTGGCTGGAAAGCAAACACCGGGTGTCACACTGAGCAGCTCACAAGTGCAAAGCGCTGTACTTTGTACCTCCATAAGGAGAGCCCTGGATCACTTCTATTTTCCAAGTGGGGGGATGGAGGCACAGCCATGAAGGGATCTGCCCCAGGCAGGTGGACACAAGATTAGGACACGCGACTTCCAATCTGTTGCTTGCCCCAGAGAATTTATTTGCAATAGCAGAGCTAGGGCTGGTTTCAGCCCCAAAAGGTCAGGACAGGACTGCGCATGCCTGACTCTGGAACAGAGAGGGGCAAACTGCAGCCGCTGGCGAGATCTGACCTGCCAGACCCTTCCATCCAGCCCCCGAGCTCCTGCCCAAGGAGGCATGCTCCTGGCCTCTCCCCCCGCAGCCTCAGTTCCCCCCGCAGCTGTGAGCTCTGGCCAGGCGGCGCGGCTGTAGCTCCACCAGCACTAGTGCTCCAGTCTGCAGCCCAGGAGCATGAGGGCTTGGATAGGAGGCAGAAGGTCCCAGGGGAACAAAAACAAACTGTAGAAATAAAACACAGCGGTGACGAGAACTCTCACTTGTTAGTAAATAAAGGGGAAGCCGGAACCTGCCCTCAGGAACCCAGGGCCTTGGGGAAGCCTCGGGGTGACCAGGCTCTGCTCCACGAGCCCGCTGGCGGAGCTTACATGGGAAGTTTCTCCCACATTCGCTGCACAGGTGAGGCCTCCCTCCAGTAGGGAGCCGCTGGGGTTCCAGATTTTCCTTCCGGGTGAAGCTCTTCCCACAGTCAACTGCACTGTGAGGGCGGCTCCCCCACGTGAACGCGGAGGTGCTGGAGGAGATGGTACTTCTGGCTGTAGCTTCTGTCGCACTTTGTGCAGGCGTAAGGCCTCTCTCTTGGGTGGACTCTCCGGTGGCGGGTGAGCTGCGCCTGGCCCGTGAAGCTCTTCCCACAGTCGTGGCATTGGTAGGGCTTCCCTTTGCCGGACTTTCTCTGGTGCATTACGCTGCTCCCCAGGAGCCAGCTGCTTTGCTCGCACCCGGTGCGCTCGGGGCGTTCGGCGGCCTGGCCCTGAAGGCCCTGCTCCTCTGAGAGGCTCTTCTCACAGGGGACGCCCCCATGCGGGCCTTCCTCCAGGTGGACGCGCTGGTGGTTCCGCAGGCGGTATTTCTCCGCGTAGCTTTTGCCGCACTTGCTGCACTGATGTGGCCATTGTCCCGCGTGGACCAGCTGGTGCCGGAGGAGGCCGGAGTGGTAGCTGTAATTCTTGCCGCACTGTGTGCATTGGTAGGGCTTCTCAGGGCCGTGGCTCTTCTGGTGCCGTAAGAAGCTCTCCTTGAGGCGGAAGCTCTTGCCGCACTGAGAGCAGCTGTAGGGCTTTTCACCGGTGTGGAGCCGGTAGTGGTTGGTCAGCTTGGCTCTCTCGCTGAAGCCTTTCCCACACTCTGTGCACTTGTACGGCCACTCCCCAGTGTGGATCCGCTGGTGCGAGACAAGCACGAACTTCTGGCCAAAGCTCTTCCCGCAGGCGGCGCACTGGAAGGGCCGCTCCCCGGTGTGCAGCCGCTGGTGGTTCTGGAGGTGCTCCTTGCGGCTGTAGCTTTTGCCGCACTGGTCGCATTTATACGGCCGCTCCCCCCGGTGGATCCTCTGGTGCCGCAGGAGCGCCGAGTGGAACTTGAAGCTCTTCTGGCACTCGTTGCATGGATAGGGCCGCTCCTTGGTGTGGCATCGCTGGTGCTTCGCAAAGCTCAACTTGAGTCGGAAGCTCTTCCCACAGTCCGCACAGGAGTAGGGCCTCTCGCCCGTGTGGAACCTCTCGTGCGACAGGAGCGTGTCCTTGCGAGTGAAGCTCTTTCCGCATTTGGCACAAGCATAGGCGGCTATTCCGGCACGGCCCCCTGGATGGGCAGCAACAGTCTTCAGTTCTCTGACGCCTCTTTCAGGCTGAGTCAATTCCTCCAGGTGGTTACCCGGAGAGCTGACTGAAGTGCAAGGACTCTCCAAGGCGGCTTCCCATTCAGTAGCCTGGCAAAGCTCCCCTCCTGGCAGCTCCTCGCTCCTAGGGTCATCCTCAGAATGCTGCTCCTCTGTTTTGATCACCGGCTCAGCATCTGCTGGCACAAAAGAGAGAATCCAGATGTTGGTTTCATCTGGCTCAGATGGAGGAAGTCTCCAATACACACTGCAGAAAGGCTTGGCAGCAGTGCTAGTCTATAAGGGAAAAGGTAGATAAAATGAGACCTTGTATTACGGGGGGGGGGAGAGAATTAACCAATTGTATGGTCAAAACATTTTCCTTTGGAGTCTGTCATCTGGTACCTGCAAGCACAAATGTATATTTCACTGCAGTCTCCACCTATATAGCACCTCTACTCCCCCTCTTTCTGGGCTGATAGACACTCACTGGCCTGCTCGCCTTTCCTTCCCACACACATGCAACTGGGAATCAGGGCTCCCAGAATGCTTTGCAGCAGACTGGCCTCCAGTTTGACACACACAGGAAATGCAGGTCAGCACAGCAGCGGGAAATCAGGTTTCAAAGGCAAGGTGAGGAATGGGATTTATCTATAACAGGGCTACTCAACATGCGGCCCGTGGTGAGCTTCGGGTTTATGCAGGGCTCAACACATGGCCCACGGGTGGGATCCTTTGAACATGGCCTCCCCTGGGAACATGCTGCACAATGGTGAGGCATCTCCCAGGTGGGGTGAGCACTGGAAGACACAAGCGGATGGGCTAGCTGGAAAAGAGAGGTACAAGGTGTCGGCGTTTCTAGCCTCCAGGGAGGAGGTGCCAGGAGCATCGGGGCATTGTGGGAAGTGCTTTGCATTCATGTCCATTATGAAAGAAGCTATTTGCATATATATTTGCAAGTATATGCAACCACATTTAAGTTGTGGCCCTTGGCATATGCTGGGAGTATCATCATGGCGCCTGGGGCCCCCAAAGTTGAGTAGCCCTGCTCTATAATATTCTAGCCAACTGCCAGGAGAACACACTGCAGGGTTTGGAAATATGTACACACTCAGCGTGAGTTTGGAATGGCCACACCACGCAGGACATCCCAAACAAGGGCTAGGAAAGCTTTTAGATAGGACTGCACCGCCACGCATTCTCCATACGCCACATGGTCACGGCCCTCCTAAATTCACTGTCCATTTTGGTCAATGGATTTTAACAATAGTCAGTTTCATGATTTGGGATATTTAAATCTAAAACGTCATGGTGTTGTAATTGTAGGGATCCTATCTCAAAAAGGAGCTGTGTGTGGGGGTCGCAAAGTTATTGTAGAGGGGGTTGCGGCATGGCTACCCATACTTCTGCGCTGCTGTTGGCGGCGGCGCGGCCTTTAGAGTTGGGCAGCTGGAAAGTGGTGGCTGCTGGCTGGGAGCCCAGCTCTGAAGGCCACCCTACTGCCAGCAGCAGCGCAGAAGTCCACGCTACTGCCAGCAGCAGCGCAGAAGTAAGGATGGGATGGGATTGGATTGCTGCCCTGATTTCTGTGCTGCTGTCTGCAGAGCTGGGCCCTTAGTTACCAGCTGCCACTGTCTGGATGCCCAGTACTGAAAGCAACAGTGCAGAAGTAAGGGTGACGTGGGTATGGTATTGCCACCCTGACTTCTGGGCTCCTATTGGTGGACATGCAGCCTTCAGAGCTGAGCACCCAGACAACATTACAACCACTGCTCTCCAGCTGCCCAGCTCTGTATTGTGGCAATACCGTGACCTTCCAAAAATAACCTTGTGATCCCCCTGCAACTCCCTTTTGGGTCAGGACCCCCAATTTGAGAAAGGCTGGCCTCCCCGTGACATCTGTGTAATACACAGCAAAGGCACACGCAAGGCCAGGTTTTCTAATGGGCTATTGGTGAAGAGTACTGGTTTGTAGCACTTTCGTTTCAAATGGCTGGTTAAAGTAGAGCTAAGCAGAGCACAAGTTTCACTATATAAACTGGGGTCCAAAAGGAAGCTCTTTGGAACCTAATCCCGAGACACAGCACAAGATGAGAGGTGCCAACACCTGCCAATCACACCGTGCAGGAAACTGGTGTCCCAGGTGATCTAATCCTAATTGGTCACCAGGAAAAGTTGGTCTGCCTCATTGGGGGCAGTGAGCATTGTATGATTAGCAAATGCACTCTGTCTGGCAACCGTGTAAGGCTCTTTCATTGTAAAAGACCCTGCAAACCCACAGAAGAGTATGTCCTGAGCACTAGGAACTGGGAAAGGGGAAGTGCCTAAAGTGGCCCGGTTATACTTGAGCCCACGGAAGGTTAAAGGTGGGTACCCTAGAGTGTGCAGGGAAATAGGAGGATAGCGAATGTGACGTCACTTTTTTAACAGGCTCCAGAAGCAACCCTGGCAATTACAAGACAGGCAAGTCTAACGTTAGGGCCAGGTAAATTGTAGTAAACAAAATGATCAGACTCCTCAATAAACACAGTATGTTAGGGAGGAGTCAACACAGCCATTGGGAAGAGAATTCATGCCTCACCAATCTTCTAGAATTCTTGGAGAGGGTCAGCGACCATGTGGACAAGGGTGAGCCAGTGGATACAGTGTACAGAGACTTTCAGAAAGCTTTTGACAAGGTCCCTCATTAAAGGTTCTTAAGCAAACTAAGCAGGCCTGGGATAAGAGAGAAGACCCTCTCATGGACTGGTAACTGGTTAAAAGACAGAAAACAAAGGGTACAAATAAACAGCTTTCACAGTGAAGAGAGGTAAATAGCAGGGTCCCCCAAGGATCTATACAGGGATCAGTGCTGTTCAACATACTCGTAAGTGGTTAGGAAAGGGGGTAAACAGGGAGGTGGAAAAGTTGGCAGAGGATACAAAACTATTAGTTACGTCTAAAGCAGAATGTGAACAGTTACGAAGGGATCTCACAAAACTGGGTGAGTGGACAGCTAAATGGTGGTTGAAATTCAATGTTGATATATGCAAAGTAATGCACACAAAACTGGGTGAGTGGTTGAAATTCAATGTTGATATATGCAAAGTAATGCACATTACACTGGAAAATACCTGGACCCAACTACATATACAACATGATGGGATCTAAATTAGCTGTTCCCCGTTGAGAAAGAGATCTTGGAGTCACCATAGATAATTCTCTGAACACATCTGCTCAATGTGCTGCAGCAATCCCAAAAGCTAAGACTATTAGGAATAATTGGGAAATGGATAGAAAAAAGACAGAAAATACCATTTTGCCTCTATATAAACCCATGGTGTTCCCACATCTTGAATAATGCAAGCATTTCTAGTCAGCCCATCTCAAAAAACATATTAGAATTGGAAAAAGTACAGTGAAGTGCAACAAATATTATTAGGGGGTTTGGAACAGCTTCCACATGAGGAGAGATTAAAAAGACTGGGACTGTTCAACTTAGAAAAGAGGAGATGAAGAGTTGATACAATAAAGGTCTATTCAATCATTCACCTTTCTCCACAACTGTCATAAGAAGTGCTGTTTAACCCTTCAAACACCACAAAAATTAGGTCACATGATAAAATTAATAGCCAGCAACTTTCAAACAAACATAAGGAAATACTTTCTCATGCAATACACCATAAACCTGTGGAACTCCTTGCCAGGAGATGTTGTGAAGGTCAAAAGCTAACTGAGTTTAAAAGAGAATTAGGCCCATCAACAGCTAAGATGGTCAGCAACACACCTTGTGTTCCGGGTGTCCCTAAGACTCCAAACATTAGATGCTGGGAGTGAAACGACAAGGCACAAATCGGTCAATTAAACTGCCCCATTTTATTCACTCTCTCTGAAGCATCTGACAATGGCCAAACTCAGAAGACAGGATACTGGGCTAGATCAGTGGTCGCCAACTTTTTTATACCCAACATCACTTTTTAAAAGTCAGGGCAAGCCAGGATCTACCCCATCTCTTCCCCGTGACTCCACCCCTTTCTTGAGGCCCCGCCCTCTATAAACCTTTCCACAGACTACCCGTTGCTAATGGAAACGCACCGTTAATTACATAATCATGCCTGAGCCAGTGTGCTAGGGCTGCAGCTAGAGAGAATGGTTTAATGTAAATTAGGGTACATCTAAACTACATGGCTCCGTCGACGGAGCCATGTAGTTTAGATGTACCCTAATTTACATTAAACCATTCTCTCTAGCTGCAGCCCTAGCACACTGGCTCAGGCATGATTATGTAATTAACGGTGCGTTTCCATTAGCAACGGGTAGTCTGTGGAAAGGTTTATAGAGGGCGGGGCCTCAAGAAAGGGGTGGAGTCACGGGGAAGAGATGGGGTAGATCCTGGCTTGCCCTGACTTTTAAAAAGTGATGTTGGGTATAAAAAAGTTGGCGACCACTGATCTAGCCCAGTATCCTGTCTTCTGAGTTTGGCCATTGTCAGATGCTTCAGAGAGAGTGAATAAAATGGGGCAGTTTAATTGACCGATTTGTGCCTTGTCGTTTCACTCCCAGCATCTAATGTTTGGAGTCTTAGGGACACCCGGAACACAAGGTGTGTTGCTGACCATCTTAGCTGTTGATGGGCCTAATTCTCTTTTAAACTCAGTTAGCTTTTGACCTTCACAACATCTCCTGGCAAGGAGTTCCACAGGTTTATGGTGTATTGCATGAGAAAGTATTTCCTTATGTTTGTTTGAAAGTTGCTGGCTATTAATTTTATCATGTGACCTAATTTTTGTGGTGTTTGAAGGGTTAAACAGCACTTCTTATGACAGTTGTGGAGAAAGGTGAATGATTGAATAGACCTTTATTGTATCAACTCTTCATCTCCTCTTTTCTAAGTTGAACAGTCCCAGTCTTTTTAATCTCTCCTCATGTGGAAGCCGTTCCAAACCCCCTAATAATATTTGTTGCACTTCACTGTACTTTTTGCTGTTGTTTCAGGCCCCGTGGGTCAAGGGTAAGGGTCAGGGAGGACTGAGGTTCAGGGCTTCCGACAGGCCAGATTTACTTTTCCTGGGTTCCGGAGTTGGTGGATTTTGTGGACCCCCTCCCCGCTTAGGCTCTGGGGTGGGAACAAAATTGAGGGGTTCAATGTGCGGGACAGGGCTGCCAGCGAGTGGGATAGGGATGCAGAGTCTGGGCGGGAGGTGGGGTGCAGGACAGGGTGAGGAAAGCAGGGTCTGGAAGGGAGTTTGGTGGCAGGAGAGGGTGGGGGTACGAGAATCCTGTGCAAAAGGGGTGGGTGTTGGGGGGGGAAGGGTTGGGGGTCTGGCTGAAACTGGCGCACGTGGTTTGGGGTTTAGGGGCCCACCTAGAGGAGAGGGGCGGCTTTCTGGCCCAGAACGTTGCTGCAAAGTGGCTTGGAGGGGCAGACGCACCCGGGTTTTCCCTCTGGGCCAAGGGTGCGAATAGCTAGCTGGGAGGGAGTCAAAGAATTGGGGAGTAAATGAAAGTGCAGCTTCTGCAAAGTAAAACTGTATCCCCCCTCATATCTTCCCTTGCTCTAGCCTCACTCTCCTCAGCCCCATGATCCCCCCAGCCTGATCCCCTGCATTGCCCCATGCCCCTCAGTGCAACCCCTGTTCCCCCCATCCTGATCCCCTGCATTGCCCCATACCCCTCAGTGCAACCCGTTCCACCCATCCTGATCCCCTACATTGCCCCATGCCCCTCAGTGCAAGCCCTGCCTTCTCCCATCCTTCCTCCCACATCCTCCTTCACCCCCTCCCACCCCACATCCGTGTGCCCCCAGCACACTCCCACCCCTGCTCCCCCCATCCTGATCCCCTGCATTGCCCCATGCCCCTCAGTGCAACCCCTGTCCCCACCCATCCTGCCTCTGCTTCCTCCTTCACTCCCCCTCCCAGCCCCTCATCCCTGTGCCCTGAGCACACTCACCAGCAGCACTGCGATTCACAGCCTCCCCGGAACAGCGCTGGAGGTGAGGAGTGGCAGGGGGGAGGACGGGCAGAGTCTCTTCCGTGCCCGGCCCAGCCCTTTGCCTGCAGGCAGTGGCTCCAGAGCTGGGGCAGGCAAAGTCTGGGGCTGTCCAGGGCTGGTTCCAGCCCATCTGGGTGAAGCAAGGTGCAGGGGAAGAGGCTCCCCAACCTGCACGCAGCCCACAGGGAACAGTGCTGCATAGCCTGGGTCCCAGAGCAGGAGGCAAGAGCCATGGGCGCACATGTGCCTCTCCCCCCTCCACTCAAGCCAGCAAGTTAAGGGCTGCCCCTCTTTGATCCAGCCCAGCTGGAGTGCAGGGCAACCTTGGCAGGTTGAATGCCACGGCCAGCTGGCCAGACGACGGCCCCTCTTTGCTCCAGCCCAGGTAGCCACTGTGTTCTGTCTGCTGAGGCTGTGCCACGCTCCAGCAAGGCTGGATCAAAGACGGGCAGCCACCCAGCCAACTGGCCGCGGCGACTGACTCTTAGGGGCGCCACGATCAATCAACAGGTTGGTGACCAATGGGCTAAATGGATGTTCTACGTGGTTGTTCTTATGTACTGAAAAAGGCGAGTTACAAAGTTATGATAGGTTTACAAAAAGACAGGACCACAATAGCTCAGGAAGGTTTGATCCGATTTTCAACTCTGCCTATTGTCATTTCTCAGTTGTTCAAATCTATTGCTCACCCATTTTAAGAACTGCAGGGACCTCGCTCTTCTCGGAGTCCTGCTGATCCCAGATACCCAGCTCCTCCTCCTGTTTAATCCAGCAGGAAATCTCTTGCATAGGAACCATAGAGTCTGTTCAGGGGAAAGAGGACTGTGTTGTCTCACAGAATGCTGCGCAAAGGATTTGAAAAGCAGTCTCTGGCCAAAGCCATTTCTTTCCTGAATAAATGTGAGCAGGGTAAATCAGGGTGATTCAGAGAAAACTGACAGGCTCAATGGGCAGTGACAGTCGGAAAGGGCAGTGACAGTCGGTCGGAAAGGGCAGGGACAGTCGGAAAGGGCTGACTTAGAACCGACAGGGGGCAAGGGAAAAAATCTGGGGTCAGAATTGGCTTGAGGATAAGGAACCGTGGGACATGCAAAACCCTAAAAGCCCACCAAGATTGTGGAGTTTTAACCACGTCCTTACCCACGCTGGGCTCTGTGGGGAGTTCTGCCTCTTCCAGCGCATCCTTGACACACGGCTCTTCTCCTCGTTCAATCTGAGCCAGGATGCTGGGTTTGGAAATCACAGCCTCTGTTCATGGAGAAGAGGTCTCTTTGGTTTAAAACCACATCTAGTTGCATGTAATTAAATACTGACGATCACTATTTTGCCACTGAAGGCACCTGTGCCTATGAACCAAGTTGCAATCGTGTTAATAAAGAGCAGTGGACCGTTAAGATAGTTGGCCACAGGTATGATGGGCTCCCGGCAGCGGATTCAGAGGTTGAGGAAAACAATACACTCTGCATGGTTCATAAAGATCAGAGAGCAGATCCCCACCTGGTGTAAAGTGTCACATCTCTGTCCATTTCAATGGACAGTTTACACCAGTGAGGATCTGACCCTCAGCAAATAACTGTGGCTTGGCCTTGGCTTAGTCCCTGCCACCTCACTAGGCTTGTAATCAGGGAGTGAAAACGGATTCTTACCCAGGGAGATCGGAGTGTCATAGTTGCTCTTCATCACGTTCTCGTCTAGCACTTTCTGCCACTTGTCTGCGCTCTCCCATCCCTGCTCAATGAAACACAGAGACAAATCAAGCAAAGCTGGGACTGAAATCCCAAGTGCTGAATGCTCTCCCTTGCGGGCGGGAGGGGGAGGAAAGTTCCAATAGCAGGGCACTACGTTGTTAAAAATAGCAGTGCAGAGGGAGAGACGGCACTGATTGGGTGCATAGAGAGCTGGGTGAGACAGACACCCTACGGTTCTGCTCACCTAAGCTGTGCCTCGTTGTTTACACTACTGTTTATTCCCAAGCTCGAGCAGCATATGTCCTCTATACACCATCACGAGATGCGTGAAGCATAGACACAACTTAGGTGTCCACAAAGAAGCGATCGAGTAGCTTCAGTTAGTCCCCTCCTTGGTAGACACCTAGCAAGCCAAGACGTGAATGTGCACAGACACAGAAATATCTTCGACCCTAGAGACTAAAGGCCAAATTCACTGCTTGTGGAATTTCATTGCTTGTTGGTATAGCTACCTCAGCAGAGTTTGGTCCCCCAAAACACCCAAACTAAAAAAGCCCAACCAAAAACATGAGAGAAGACACAGATGGAAGGAAACTTCGCTCACAGGAAGCGAGCTCTGTAAACGAAGTTTCGATACACAGGGATCCCTTCCTAACTCAAGTCTCTGGAATTTGAATGAGAAGAGTCAGAAGAGGAGGTCAGAGTCTCTTTGAGCGTTACATCAAGACTGACTGGGGAAACCAGAATGCAAGGGGACGGCAATAGTTGTCCCCCAAGATTTTATTCCTGAGTACAAAAGAATCCATCATCAGTAAGATAATCCAAATCAGCAGTGCCTTAAAGAACCTACCAGCCACCAGGCACCAGGCACAAACGCCCCTTTGATAGTGGACAATCAGCTTTACTTCTGCTCTTCTGCCCCAGCAGGGATATTGTTACCTTGGGGAGTTCTCCCCTACTGCCTGGGGGCAGCCTCAGGAGCCAGAAGTTCCCGTTCTTCAGCAGGTTCTCCACGTTCTCCAGCTTCCTCCGCAGCAGCCCGTACTCCTGGGTCAGAGTTCCCAGCACGGCCCACTTGCTCTCCAGCTGGCTCCCAAACTCCACCACAGTCCTCTCACAGCCAGCCAGTTTCGTTTCAGCTGCCCCCATTCTGCCCTCCAGATTCAGCAACTGGGCCTCCTGAGAAGCCACCTTCCTCTCCATGGCTTGAACTGCAGCCACAGCAGTCAGAGAAATCTCTGCTGTTTAAATCTCTGCTGTTTCTTCAGGGACAGCAGGTGGCTGCCAAGGCGCTGGCCACCATGACGCTGCGTCCCATTCTGGAGCCTGTTTGAAAGGACAGAAATGGAAAGACATCTACCAAGGTAAACAGCACACAAGCTGCTCACATACTAGCAGCTACTCAGCTCTATGCCAGTGGTGGGTGGCCTGTGGGCCTCATGCAACCCACTGAGGTTTCCCCGGCAGCACCCCTTCCCCCATGCACCTCTTGCGCATTAGGGCCCCGCACTTCCTACTCCTCCCCCGCCCTCCCAGACCTTCTTATTCCTGATCTCTGGGCCCCATGTTCCCCACTATGAAATTCTGACCTTCTTTCTGGCTAGGACTCAACATTACTGCTAAGCTGCTATGCAGTTGCCTCATAAGCCCCACACAGGGGCTCAAGGCTGCCACTTACAGAGCTGCTGGGCCGTAGGAGCACCCTGCTCCCTCCCCCACCAGCTTTCTGCGGGGGGGAGGGGGAGTGTCTTACCTGTGGGGCCAGAGGAGTGCACCTCCCTTGCCCTGGCTACAGCCAGGAGTTTCCTTGGTCAGGGGAGGAGCACACTCCTCTGGCCTCAGCAGCAGGGGTGGATTATGCAATGGGCTGCCAGCCCTTCCTGGCAGAGGGAGGAGGGGGTGGCTCCATGTGCTGAGGTTCCTTCCTCCCCAGCTGGAGCTGCATCAGCACAAATGTCAGGAAGCTCTGTCCCTGCAGCTCCCATTGTCCGGAATTCCCGGACAATGGGAGTTGCAGGGGGCATGGGCCAACCAAAGCTACTGGTCCCCCATCACCACCCAATGGGAGCTGCCCCAAATAAGTGCCTTGCACCGATGTTCCCTCTAATCTTTTCCATCCATGTGCAGAATAAAGTTTACATGCACCAAGGCATGTGCAAGTGTGCACCACCAGTAGAAATAAAAACCTAACCCCAGCGCTCTGGTAACAGCTGGGCAGCATTTGAATTTCTCCTCAGCAGCTGCACAAGTGCATAGTTTACGGGGAACTCTGTTCTGCACCCTAACCCCGCCCCACCCCCCAGCTCCCTCCTA